CACGATGCGCTTGCGTTATATAACACTGGTCGTCCCAACACGCCTTTCATTATTATGCCAATGTGTGCTTCTGTACACAGCGCGAGGCGGTCGCGCACACATACAAGCTGCTTTGTTAATTTGTACGGAGTATACTTCTCTTATTTCCCATTGTTTATCTGAGATGGAAAAGTAATCGACCAGTTATGTCTGTATTAACGCAAACCACTCTATTTTTCACTATAATTACAAAAATGATTACTTTTTTTTAATTTTCCAATTTACGCTAGATACGTTATACAAAGTATTTATATTTACTGAATTAAATTGATCATTAATTAAATAACGTTAATTATAGTCCGTCTTTTTGAAGACGGAGTAAATGACATTTGCAGGGTTGCCAGTTTTCATAAAATTTAAATAGTTATGCAGTTGCTATCGATAGTTTTATCGACAGATTGTGAAAGATAAAATTTTGCCCAAGCTGACTGAAATGTGAATGTTACTACGTTCTAGTGATTACTATATATATTCAAATTTGTTACAAAAGACAAATATATGTATGCGATTTAGATACGAAAAAAAATAGTTTAATTTCCTGTAATATTAAATTGTTCTTATTCTTCTATTGAGTAAACAAAAAATGTAAATAAATAACAATAATTATACCAACACACTATCACGCCTGTAAGGTAGCCGGAATATTTGGAGCTACTAATATCAGGACATAAAAATCACCAATCACAAGAACTACCAACAATCGAGGGTATCTAACTAATATCATTAATACTGGCGCCCAGACCGGGACCCCAAGCCTTCTAAACTACGATCATAATAGAAAAATACTCAAAAAATCCTCCTTTTATAATAACTAAATACTAACGAAGATAGGTATTAAATAAAATTAAGCGATAAATGAAAGATCAGCTGTGTTTGTTACCATTTATTTCTAAGATTACTAATGGAGATGATCATAGATAATTAATTTTCAATGGCTGAAGGAGGCGCGCGGCCAACGCTAAAATGCAGACACTAGCGGGCGGTAGCGAGCCCGATCCTCTATTGCCTATGAAATCAACTATGCAGCGCCCTTTTCAGATTCTATTCCACCGATTTAGGCTTTCATATAGTTGACATTGACATGTTTCAGTTCTCGTAATCAAAATTCTTCCAGCCAAGGAGTAATATGAATATATGTAATAATCAAAAAGGGCGTTATGTTAAGAAAAAGGTACAAGCTACTTAAAACGATTTTATTACCAACTATAGTAACATTCAATGTATTCTGCAAAAGCCAGTGGTTCCATACAATTTCGTATGGAAGAACGTACAGAATACTGGCGTAACTACATATCTACGAGCCCAACCCCGTGTCTACATAACATATACATATTTTTTTAAATATATTGCACAAAATATAACTAAATAGCAATCGTGTGATTTCGAACATCTACGGAAAAATCCAAAATATACATATAATTAATAATAAAAAAAAGGAATGTAATACAGCCTCCTAGTCGGCTGTTTCTACTCTAGCTGAAGGGTTCAAGTTTAATTTAACTGTGACACTGAATAACATTTATAATTTCAGTCAAATACATAGTGTCACCGATCATGCGATCAAGGGTTTCCTTACTTGAGATCGAATGCCGTTTGATCTAACATTAATTAATTGCTCGAAAACGTTTGCTCGATTGTCCAAAAAACCTATGAATCGTGAGCTCTAAGGTTTGCCACATTGATGTATGAAAATCTCGAAAGAACATTTGCTCTAACGATCAACATCGATGTGGCAAACCTTAGAGCTCACGATTCATAGATCAAATGGGCAAATCGACCAAACGTTTTCCAGCAATTAATGTTAGATCAAACGGCACTCGATCTCAAATAGGGAACCCGTGATCAAGACATAACAACCAAATCCCTCTTGTTAAAATTGTCCGTCACAATTTTGACTAAAACTAATTATTTACATAACAAGACATCTGAATTGAATTACGTAAATATTTTTTTCTGTCGAAATTAAGTTCGGTCCATTTAAGATAAAAGGCAACAGGGCTTTTGACAGGAAAATCAGATGAGAATCCCTTTTGAAATCTAATAAATACATTTCATTTATTTCACAGTTAAAAGGTAAGAATTACGTATTTGACTAGAAATAAATACGATCTCATAATAAATTGAAAGCTGAATATTCTCAAATGCCGCCAAGTTTCACGAGAAAGTACCTCAAAGCAAAGGAAACGTGGCCGCACGCCAAAGCATGGCACACCCACCCTAAGGAATCACTTACTTAACAACAGTATATCACGATTGTAACTTTAAATACATATACCAACGCTACAAAGTATACTGATCCTATGATACAAAAATATTTTATATTGTATGCATAATGCAGTGTGTATAATAATAACTAACGTAGAGCGCGCGCTGCTGTGCCGTTCGGAAACCATAGTGCATGCTTTTAACTTTTTTTTAAAAAGGTACTTTATCGTAGCAGTGTCTCTAGCCGCAACGCGCGCGTGCCCAAAATGTTTTATAATTAAGTATGTTTATTGCTTTCGATTAGTCATACTTATATCATACTTTTATATATGTAAAACTTCAAAATTACTACGCTACAACTACTCTAGCATCTGCCGCACGTTAACACACAACATAATTTCAATTTTTTTTTTCATTAACATACTTTACATTACACCAATCCAAAAATTGTATATTAATCCATGTATATCTTAAACCTTATATTATATGTTGTTTACATTGGTCCAGTGAACCTGGAAATGCCAAGAAGCACGGACACTATCTTGCGTGCTCGCTGTGTATGGCACATCACTACTGCATGAAGCCTTAAACAAACTACAACTAGGCAAGAACAAGTTGAGCAAAAAAGACTCCCGCCAAAGAAATTAACCTCAAAATTTTCATTTAGAAAACTAATAAAATGACTAGAGAGGAATGTATTTCGGTTTATGGCAACGAAGTTTAAACATTAGCGTCTTAGTTGGCAACGTTCCAGATTATTGTCTCATTCTTAAGCTACTCTGGCAAAATAACTGTCCTATGTTAGCTTCGCAGCCCGCGTGGCCGTCATTTTTTGTCCACAACACAAAATGGCGTAATAATAATTTTTTGTCCACAACACAAAATGGCGTCATAATGTTGACTAAATCTATTCTAGTTTTCTTTTAATTCCTGGTTTCAAAATGGGTCAAAAGCGGACTAAATCTTAGTAAAAACAAGTCTAGCGCGAATATTAAATTGAGCAAAAAATGACAAGATTTGGCTTTTAAAATTTTGGCCGGTAATTTGGCAAAACAATTTTGTCTCTCTTTGGAATAACCAAGAAGATTGTAGGCCTCAAGCGAAGCTTCACTACATGGTCTACACTACGTGTCTACGTTTTCAATATTTCTTTCAAAATTAAACGCCGATTTTCAACTTTAGAAGAAATATTTTTAATAGCACGCTTCACAACCAACGTGTGGCTAACGCCTTGGGAATTGACAGTGAGAGATTGGAAGATTTATTTTATATTTACGTATTAACTTCATGCCAACCATGCCTTATCAACGTTTGAAATGTTAGTCACGAACGACGCTTTACTACAATGATACGCATGCCTGACGACTTACCATTCGAGTACCCCCACCCATTCTTACAGAAAGGTATAAATGGCGCCCAGAGTGGGGCCACCTTTTTGCACACTCAAAATTATCTACGGAAAAAAACGTGCACACTAGAAAAATAAGTGTAAACAAACCATAACCCAGCAAAAAGGAACTACCCCACACTCGGCTACAATATAGAAATGAAACACAGTTCTAATATTTATCCATGTAATGACATATCGGGTTTTTAGTGCTCGATACATACGGGCAAACTAGTCCACTAAATACAAACTACAGCTAGCCTACGGCCAGATCCGTTGCAAACAAAAATCATCCAACCAACGGACTCTGACCACCAATGTTACCAACGTAACTAATACAAGAGTGAAAAATAAATATTCCATTCCAAATTTATCAATCAGGAATTTGGAATGGGGAATACATATGGGAATATAAAAAAATTAAGTACAGTTGAACTTTCAGGATAACAGCCGCACAGCTCGGGTTTGTTAAAAACACGACTTAAATTCCTTTACGCCTACTTACGACCGCCCTTTGAGTGACGTCACAACCTGGCTGTAGGCAAAGCTTTATAGAAGCAAGCAATTCTTAATACATCGCACCACATCCAATAGTAGTAGTAGATACGAAGTTATTTGGATATTTAGAAATATTTTCGAATTCTGAACGAAATTTCACTTTTCACCAGAACAAATTTCACCAGATATAGAGTTTATATTTTGAGGGTACTTTTAAAAAATGTTGTGTTTTTAACAAACCCGCTGGAAATCTAATAACTTGGCAAGACACCGCGCGGCTGCAGGGTTAACTGTGAGACATCACATTATCAACCTTCTAATAACGTTTTAAGACCCAACATTTAATTCTAGTTTTCTTTCTATTCCAAGTACCTGAGTATTATTTTGCGTTCTTTCAAAAAAAGTCAAAGGGGCGATTTAAGTAAATCAATTAAAATGGATCTAAACTATACGGCAGTCAGTACCGTTTTTGGAAAATTAAAAACTGGAGTACTAATGAATTCAAATACTAATTTTGATTGGTACAGTGTTGCTATATAAAACACACAAAGTTATACATTTCTTTTATGTTCAGTAACTGCTCCAACAACGGTTGGAACAGAAATAAAACTATAGGATACTAATTAATAGACAACTGGGTCTGGAAACGTAGTAATACTGAAGTCAGGAAAAAAATCTAATATACAAAAGGTGTCAATTAATTATGTGAGTTGGCGAACGTCGTATGCAGTGCCAAAAATAATCACCGCTATCAAATATATGATTATACTAAAAATTAAACTATATTAAAAAAATATAAACCGAAAAAGCCTTATTTTTTTGTGAAGTGATCTTGCAACGACTTCGTTTTCTTTTTTTTCTGTAGGCACCATGCAGAATTACTAATTTTATAAATATCTTCTCCAATCTGTCTTTTATAATAAACAAATTGAGGGTAAGGTAAAGAAAAATTGAGGATATTATTAAAAAATAATTTTTGAGGTGCACATACGACGTTAGCCGTTAATCTCAGCGGTCTAAACCTACTTACACTAACAATACTGCTATATAAGGATAGGTGAACATGTGATATAGCAATCGGTAGCCCTCGCGTGTTGAAATTTAGAAAGAGACAGTAAATCTATAAGTGTAAAAAATAATATACAGGAGGTTAGAAAATACTGTTTTAAGCGGGGATAAATTGTACTCTCGAGTTCAAATGTAACTGTACCCTTTTAATATAATACGAAATTTCTAGTACATGTGCTTAATCCAGAGTAAAACTTAACCCCAAAAAATATTGTTTAAAGAAAATTGTTATTAAAAACATCACTGGGAACGAACAACTACTTACTAATACAAAAAAAATATATTAAACATATAACAGAAAAAAACTAAGTACATATTGTACAAAATAAAAATATTATCTATGGTACATAAAATTAATGAAAAAATCAACACGCAAGGGTTACAGTTGTGAGTCGGCCGGCGGGGGAATGTAGCCGACTAAGCTACCGCATGCATTCGCCTTCTACTTCGCCTGCCTTTGCCTGGAGTACCGAAATAATATAATGATGACGTCGGGAAATAGGGCATTTCAGAATTCAATCTTTAAATTTAAAATACGAAGTTCGAAGTTCAAAAAAATAAAAAGTGCTCGTTTCGACGTGTAGTGCGAACACAGACACTATTTATTATGGACCGTAGTCTTATTATTTGCACCTATATTGTCTGTGGTTTTTGTCTAAGCTGTATAAAAAAACGTGTCAAAATTTAAATTAAACAGATTTTAGTTGTCTCTTTCCAAGCCTCTTCTTTTTTAAAAGTATTATAGCCCCATCGGTACATTCGATGATGCCGCTAACGTCAAATTTTACCAAGCTTTCATTTCTCTTACAAAATCATCAAAATGAAATGAACATGTCGGTGACCCGTGACGTTAATTAAATTTATGATAACTTTAAGATTTAAATTTAAGGGTATTTATTTAAGTACAGCGATAATTTTGAGATATTTTTAAGTACTTAAAAACCTGTATTTAAAAAAATCAAATTTGAGGATATTATTTTAAGATACAGGTATAAATATAGGTGAACTAGGTCCACGTTTAAATCTAGGAATTGCACAAACACAACCTCTATCGTCTTTTATAATAATACTTTAGTAATCACAGAATTTTTTAAATTTTAAGTTGTTTAATTTTAAATATTGCTTTTCGAATGATGCTTAACGCTACTTGAGATTAAGTACTTAGTTTACTTGAAATTTTAAGTAGAATGAGCCTCAGGTTCATAAAGTTATAAATAAGTCCACATGTCCGCCAAATAAAAGCTCAAGTGCCTCCAAAAAGAATTGTACAAGACCAATTTTTTTGAACAAAACATTAAATGAAATCTTAATCCAGATATAACTTGAGTATTTTAAATATTATTTTTTAAAGTATAATAAAATGGACGACCAAAGAAGTATGCGAGACTACGTTGTCCTAAATATAGAACGTATAAGGCAAACGCAGTCAAATTAATATCGCGCGCATTTTGACAACCAAATCACCCTTTACTACTTTATTAGTTTAAAAGGTAATATCAAAAACTATGTTAAAATTAGTTAAGAAATATTCGCAACAACTTGTCAGTGCAAAAAGCACGACGCCCAGTGTACAAATTCTAACTATTTCTTTTCCATGTTTAAAACTTTTTATAAACGAGTGAGTATAAAAAAATGATATTTTTAAAATTTTTGCAGCATTGAAATGTAGGTGTTGCTGTGCACAAACCATACGCCACAGCTACAAGTAGGCAACGACATCATGCCGTGATCTTCATGTTTAGTTGCGTTCGCTTTAGTTGCGTGTGTACCTGGCTACTAGTGGCCATGGCGTGAGGCCAATTTTGATTATCTTTGATGGTAGCGAACGTCGCGCTTGAAGTAAATATGTATAATCTCAGAACATTAAATTGTACAGTACGTACTAAACTAAGATAATGAGGGATTTTTTACTAACTAGACAAATGTTAAAAAACTCGAAGACAGATAAGGGTAAGTACGACAAAATGGGGGGTTAAGTCCAGGCAAAGTCAGGCGCAATCACAATCTACAGCGGCTTAAATACTTAGCTTATTGTCACGTGACACTCTGTGTGTTAGTTAGCATTCCCTTTAACTAATCTATAGTCAAATACGCTAAACTGGGGTAGTGGATTCTTAATACTAGACTGGGAGAAGTCTGCCATGTTTACCACAATATTTTACCAAGGGGTAATTTGACAAATTTTAATGCAAATTTTACCCCAATAAAAAAACCAATTTTGACAATATTAAAAGAGGTCCTTTGTAGAATTTCAGTTAACAACCATTGAAGACCTGTCAAAATTGGTTTTAAAGACATGTAACAAGAATGCTTATCACGTTTTAATATTAATAGTAGGGGTACACGAAAAAACTTTAAAAAACCACTACCACACAGTGTAATACTAAAAATAGCTACGTAAATAAATCCATACATAATATTATAATAATGTAGTGAGATTGCTTCTGGAGATATGTATGAAGAGTATTGCGATGGGTGGCCGTGTGACGTTATGACGCTGACGCAAATTGCGCCTCCAAAGTTTAATTGACGTGATTTCATGTAACCACACTTTCCAATAGTGCAATTCTTTTTTATCTGACCATAGCGGAACTAGAAGAGCAATGCGTTTTGAAGTATTACGACCCGCATTGCCGTGCCGTTTTTGGACCACTAAACTTGTGCAAAAAGGCTGTTAGTGGTCTTGTCTTGATGTGTGAACAAAGGTTCAAGTTACGATGGTGTTTGGGGGGAAAAGTTGAGTTTTAATGTTCTTCAATCGGCAATTTCATGGAGCAACCTTAGACTCACTTTTCAACATTCGACCATAACATGAACCCATTACCACACACAAACAGTATAACCATTGAGGGCTCTTCTTACACCGGATTTATAGTGGTCCAGAGACAGAAATTCATCGTTGAGTTCTTCATATCTACCAACTATGGCGCCACTATGACAATAGTGTGCGCAATGGTTATGCTCACGCTTGTAGGGATAACTTAATTTTTTAGAGCAAATGACAGCTTGGGCAAGGTTAATTAAAATTTTGAGCCCATGCTAAACGCTACAGGGAAATTTGAAAACGCATTGGCGCCTGCGCCAAATGTTTTAATAAATATGACAGCTGGACTCGTATGACGTATTGAGAACAATTTTTTGTGACTTCCTTTTGTACAGAGCATTACATTAGGGGTAAAATGTAGAAGCTTTTTATAAAAATCAAACTTTATTTTAGTAAATTATTGAGCATGCTTACTCATAACTGGTTTCAAAAAAAACGCGTTTTGGCACATTTTTTTATATAAAAGAATGGCACAAATTTCTAATACTGATATTGGCGGGAAACGTTTGGCCATTTGAAGTTTTAAAGAATAAACAAGATGGCGTCGCGCCACACGTCACACAGCAATAGCCTATAATTTATTTTTAATAAAAAAAAATACAAGTACGGCCAATGAGATTCGTTATATACTTATACACTTCTTAAGATTATGTATATTAATGTATATAATAATATTGTTTTTATATATTGCCAAACGTGCACTAACTACGAGAGTAAATAAGAAAATTCTTTTTTTTTTCAAAACTAAATTATCTGAGATCCTTCTTAATAATCTTAACAAAAAAAAAATGAAATGCGTATTCTTTGATTAAGTCCCGTAAGTTCAAAGTATTGCTTTTAAAAATTGACTTAACCTAACACTTTAATGAGCCAACCTTATATTAAATTTCTTTTTAGTAATGAATACTGATAATTCCCGCTTGTGGCCACTTCGAGGCAAGAAATTCTTAACTAAAAAAAGTATAGGAACTATTATAAGAAAAAAAGCTGCGTCCGCAGTTACAACCTAACTTTCTCTAACCTTTAGGCGGGTGGGGTTATTTATTGCTGTCAAAATGAAAATTTTAGATATACATCGGAAGGCCGTACATGGCTCCCCAGTCGACTCCTTGGAAAGAAGACATGTCGACGCCCGCCAGGGAATACGCAGCTCCGAATTGGGGTAAGGTTGGCGCCGGAGCGGGGGCGGGCGGGGCAACCAGTGCCGTGGCCGCAGTCGCCGCAGTTGGTAAAGCATAAGGAGCATATCTGTACGCGTGAGCTGCCCCTACAGTAGGCACCGGCCCGACTCCCCCCGCTGTGGCGTAAACCAGCCCCCTTCCAGGGCGTAAGACCAATCGCTTACCCAACGCCAACGGGGCGGCCGCGACCGCTTCCTTCGGCTGAGCGCGCTTACACTCCACCTTCTTATTTTTAATTGTATGGAAGTGAATATCACATACTCGTTCCACTGCCTCTTCTGAATGGAAGGTCACAAAGCCGAACCCTCGGTGGCGTTTAGTCTGTTGATCCATGAGCATCACGGCATCTTCGACGAGGCCGAACTGCGAGAAATATGCCCTTACTTCTTCAGCAGATGTGTCCTGTCCGACCCCGCCGACGAATATTTTTTTTGTCTTCGCGGGCCGAGGCGCTGATTTCGGTGTGGCGTGCTTAGGGTCAATGCGCTTGCCGTCCAGGGTGTGGACCGGCACGGCGAGGACCTTATCCACGGAGGAAGCGTCCTGGAACGTGATGAAGCCGAAGCCGCGCGACCTCTGCGCGGCGGGGGGTCTCAGTATTTTTGAGGTAATAGCGGTTCAGGATTATGTCTTTGAAAATTTTTGGGGAGTTCAAGTAGTTCGTCCATGAAGTTGGAACCCATGTTGGAGCCGTATACAAAAACTACGTGTGATTCTTCTCTAATATTTATAGTAACGTGCCAGATAACCACACCAGGGCGTACACTCTTGTTCTCGTCCGAAATTATTGCTGGTGGTCAAATAGGTAATACTCGGCATAATTAAAAAACAAGGTCAAGTATGAAGCTTCATTCGCATCATGCTTCTTTCAATTTTGTCGAGTATTACTTATTTGACAGTCATTGTTTCGGTCAGGTGTCGGACGGAGAACGGGAGTAGTTGTCTCAAAAGACATTTCCCTGTACGGTGAAGACCAGGCCAATGATATTCAATCCAAGGCATTAGCATTACCCAGACTGTATAACAAACAAACTTTCTACTAATTTAATAATTATGAAAAAGATTTTCAAAGACATATCCAAAATATTCCAACAAAACAATTTAAGACCATTTTACACTGGAAAGTTGAGACCACACTATAAAGACTGCTACTTGAACTTTTGTAGCTACAGGAAAAAGATCTATAGATCATCCTCAACTTAGGAGTTATTTTCAACTGGAGCACAAACTTTCGGAAATGTTCCACAGTCTTCCACAGTCATAAACTTTGTTGGTATCACATTGTTAAATTTTTTAAATAATCGATTGGCACCACATACAAAAACGCAAGTAATGAAATTTTCATTGCCGATTGTATTTTCTTTAAGGTGAAATTGGATTTTTTTTTAAATAATTCCAAAAAGCTGGGGATGATCTTTTAAATACGTTTAAATATACACACAACGGTTCGTTTAACAGCCCTACTGTATGATCTCAAATTTCCACCCTAATTGGGGTCTTTTATGTAAATCATCGGCGCAAAAAGGTCTCTGGCAGAATTTAACTTTGAGAACTGCCTTCTTGATTTCACTAAAAACATTAGTAACTATAACTATTACAATAATAAAAATAAAAACTAATAACTTCGAAATGCTACAATTAGTGATAATTTAAGTCTACATCAAAAATATTTAATTAAAAAAACACTTTAAATCAAGAACACACTTCTCAGAAAAATGTTCTCATTTGCCAGTGCTAAATACTCCCGCGTTTCGGAAAGCACGTATGGTTTCTAGAATCAAAACGATGGTTTTTGTTGATCATGAAAAGGAGTTTATTGAAAAAACTAGTCCATTAAGAACACGTCAACATGGTGAGGGTGAAAAACTGGAAATCTAGCCTTTAACACTTTTTTGAAAATGAATTCGGTAATCGTTAATTACACACTCAAAATTATCAAGCTTTAATTGAAAATTTGCCGTATTTGCTCTGGTTCACATGTGTATGCTAATTTGGCTTCATGGCTATTGACTTATTTGACATGTTTGTTTCATTATTCATTAATATTCCCTATTTTTTATTGTATTGAATAGCAAAAACAAAATCCATTTCGTAAATAAAAAAATGATAAAAAAAAACAGTAACGCTCATTACGACAGAATTAAATTTTAAATAGAATAAGCATTTTTAACGCCCAAATAAACAAAGTTCAAGATCTTCATAATATATACGTGCTCTGCGAAAACGTCAAAAATCCACACTGACAAATAAAAATATATGTTAGAGCAATAAAAACTAAATAATACGAAGTATATATCAACGGATCAAGACTATATCACCCTCCAATATTAGTCCTATTTTACTTAAAGGATCAAAATCTTTACGTCCATGCTGGTTAACTATCAATATAATAATAAATACCATGAGAATTTTGAATTGTGTGATTTTTTTTATTATTGACATCGGTTTACGAACTTGTACAGGTATGCCAACACGACCCGTCTTGGATGGGCGACGTTTTTAATTGACGTAACGAACTGTGCTTGTACAATCGAATGTATAACCAGAAATAAAGACGAAATGTCAGTTACTTTGAAAACTATTCTGCCAAATCGTTACGGTGACAACTGCGGTCCGATTGGCCAGCCCGAATTCAGAACAATTAAGAGGTGTCGTAAATTGTTTCACTCCAAATCGACCAGTTTAACTTAAGCTTTGCTATAATGGACGAAAATTGAAAAATTACATATTTAATGTTTAATTACCGATGAAATGTAATTCCGTTTGTTTTGTAATTAGGTGTTTTGCTGTTTTCCTCTACACCACCGAATGGAACAGCCCCCATTGTTAGAAATATTATCTTTATTACAATAAATACAGAATATTTTTGGAATATACGGTGACGTAAACACAGGTCAGTTGTTAGCGCTTTGCTATTTCAGTTTTCTAATTTGTGATTCCAGTGCAAACGAGAGTTGATATTCGAAAGTGATATAAGGCCCACTGAATTAACTGACGTTTAGTCTTTATTTCTGGTTATATACTCGACGGTACATGCATAGTTCGTTAAGTCAATTAAAAGCGTCGCCAATCCAAGACGGGTGATCGGGCACTATGCCGCTGCCGTACGCTTGGGGAGGCTTACGTCCAGCAGTGGACTACATTAGGCTGATTGATTGATTGATAAGGCCCATTTGTCTGATGAGTTGCCAGGGATGGATGGCCCTTATTTCGTCTCTATTTCTGGTTATATACTCGAATAGTCTGCACCATGAGTTCATAATGACAGTTGTCGCCACCGCGTAGAATATTTGGACATAGTTACGCAAACAAGAACCAACCCACACCTGGAGTGAAATTGAGTTATGTATTGAGGCAGAACACCAGGCAGACATTTACCCGCTCACAAAAGATCCTGGCAATATACCAAGCCAAAACGGAGAAAATAAAAGTCCTTCAGGGTACCAACCCTAAATATGTACCTTTTTAATAGCTAAAAAGAACCATGCTGCGTAACTTCATACAATGTACTTTTTTAAATATGCTAAGTGGATCCATGTCACATGTACTGAAGTACTGTAGATCTTTAGCGTTTTCATTACGAAAACTAGAACATGGTTCTCGTTAACTAAATAAAAAGATTTATAACGTTTTCTATTTAGTGCTATATAATATAATAGTTTCCCTATATCATTCTCAATGCATCACACAACTCACGTTGTTTGTCTCAAATAACTTACCTATTTATTTCTTCACACTGTTTTTACAAAAATCTAATTATCTCGAAAGTGATATTTTGTGGGTTGGTTCTAGTTTGCATAACTATGTCAATTTGACAATGAAAAAAAAAACTCAGATTTGCAACAAGCTTTAAAGGAAGTCGAATCCAGCTGGATCGAATGAATTTTTCTTAGTGTTGTTGTTGCATGAAAATAATACTCAAGACAAGTGCAGCTATTTTGCACGGTTTTATTTAATACTTCCTTTTTTATTAATATGGATTTCCAGAAAGTAACGTCCGCAACGATAAATTAATTGAAGGACACACAGTTGGCCGTTGATGGCCTTGACGCGTCAAAGAGAATCTTGAGGGCCCTTAACCCTTATTATAAGCTAAGTAGCGGGACAGAGGGTGCCCAGACAGGTCAAAATAATCTTTATTTCATAGGTAAGCATATACACTATACACAATACACTTGAAATCGTCATTTTGGTTAAACTCTACTGCTCATTTGTAAGGCAAATTATACTGAGAAGAATGAGCAAGAAACTCTAGGGTTTGCTCTTTGTAATATACATTTGAATATATTTATATTACAATATTTATTTTAAACATCTTAGATCGAGACTACCTGTAAGAACCAATAAGTCATTACGGTATTTCGTCATCCAAGTACGCAAAGTTGTATATAAACTTCAGAATAAAGTTTTAGTTTCAATATAGTTTGAAACCTCGTAAATGGCAAATTTTGAATATTCAAGGCGGAGGTAGCTCAGCTGGGAGAGCGCCAAACACGATCTGCTAAAAGCGCTGGTTCGAATCCAGCGGGATCGAAGTTATTCTTCTTAAGTGTTCGATCTTTGTATTAATAATTATATTTGACAATGTTTATAGTTGACAAATATTAATAATTATGTTTGACAAACAAAGGTAGAGGTACTAATGTGCTAGAAATATATAATGTCAAATTAATACATTAGAATGAAATAGAAGAATAATGCAATCGTTAACTTCCGTAAAACTAGAATGGCTCCAATGCTTGGAATTTCAGATGTATTGAATGAACATTGGACATCGGACAAACTCGGAAATCACGAATATTTCCGAACGCAGTTGCCGTGTTTAAAATTATCGTATTAAAATAGTACAGCAGACGGAATTCCCTATGTATTTCTACCATTAAATAAGAAAGTTCTTAGTAAAATTACTTATTAATAAAATTTCAACTAAATTCTTTATTATTATTGCATTTACCATAATGTTTTACATAGGACCACCCTTTTTAAGGCGTTTTGTCAGACCTTTTACACGTGCAGCCTGTGGACAAACTACACTAAGAAGGCGGTCAACGTCTTGCGAGTCCAATATAATAACGGCTTTAGGAGGTTGTTGGGGCTACCGCGCTTTTGTAGCGCCTCAGGTATGTTCCCAGAGGCACATACAGACAGTTACGGTGTAATAGTTCGTAAGAGAACTGCCTCCCTGATGCGTCGCGTGCGTGTTAGTTCCAACAGCCTTATTCGCCTAATTTGGGAGGACCCTGCTTGCGCTTTATGGAAACACTGGGACTCGCTTCACATGGGTTCCAGGGGCTTGGTGTATGATTTAATGTGATAACATGTAAATTTTATGTAATTTTATTATTCAATTTTAGATTTAATTTAATATTTAATTTTCACTCATATATTCTTTTTAATTAATTTCTCAATTTGGAATTTTGATACAGTTTTAATAATTTGTCTTACTAACATAGGCTATAAGCTGTTTGTTACTAACATGATATGGACTATGTCCGAAATAAAAATTTTGAATTTGAATTTGAATAGGATGGAAAAGGCTTAAAGCTAAATTAACTGCGCATTATGGACCCCAAAGA